TGGCCAGGCATGGTAGTGCGCACCTGTAGTTCCAGCTACTTGGAAGGCTGAGGTGGAAGGATCACCTGAGCCCAGCCAATCGAGGCAGCAGTGGCCATGAGCATGCCACTGCAATCCAGCCTGGGCAACAGAGTGAGACTCCAACTCAATTAAAAAAAAACAAAAAAAACCCAGGCATTAATAATGTATATCTGAGTCCTGACGCAGAAATTTGCAGTACTCCCTTAAACAAACTAATAGAGCTAGTGTTTAAGATCTAGTTAAGATCTTGTTAAGACTAATAACAGATTCCATGTAAGACTAGTAATACTACAGAATTCAATATTTGAGATTAATACTAGTTAATAATAACCCAAGCACACACTGGTTACATTTTGTATCTATTTCAGCTCTTAAGAACCTTGAGGCAGCTACATGCTGTCAAACCCTCCAACCTCACCTCCTTCCCAGTCCTCTCCCAATCAACAGAGTACTCACCAATATACCATGACTTCTCATGTTGCTGTGATTCTGCTTGTAGACCACACTTCCTTTGCTTTGTCATTAGAAATAACTTCACGGTAATTTCTACTCCTCCATCAACACTCAGCTCAGTTATCAACTCTCCCAAAAAGCCTTCCCAGATAGCTTCTTATTATGCCCCACCCTTAGACTAGGTGATACGTACCTACCGCAGCCTATGTGTACTTCTAGTACAGTATATCCTACCGCCTCCTTGTTGGTCACCTTGATCAAACTACTTAATCTCTCTGAACTTCCACTTACTGGCCCATAAATCCAGGAGAATATCTGCATGTAGAGTACAAAGCAATCCCTAGGCTCAGAAAGGGCACTCACTCCACAGTGGCTATCATTATTACTTCACTCTGTACTAGTGGTGTTCACTTTTCTTTCCCCTCCTAGATTCTGAAAACACAGACTGCATAAGCATTCAATAACTATTTGTCAAATGAACAAAAGCAGGAGTAAATCTGTAAACTACACAATTTTGAATGAGTAAAGAAGAACGTAAAGGCCCAAAAGACTAACCAAAAAGTTGCAGAATTTTCTCACTGTTCTTACTCTACCAATTTTGCTAACCCAGGACAACTGTAGAATGCTACCAGAGGCCTCAAAGCAACTATAGAATGCTACCAGATGCCTCAAAGCATATATACAATTTTCTGGAGCGAGCAGATCTACCATGAAGACTAACAACACTGACTGACAACAGAAAAGGCCTTACGCCAGCAGCGAAGACATTACCGTGAGCGAGCCGCCGGCTCTGCGTTGCATCGGGGCTATGCTCCTGCTCCAGGACTGCAGGAGGTCCCATGAGGAGATCAAGGTCGTCCAGCAGAATGACGGAAGGCTGCCTCCATGCTGCCTCTGAGAAGGCTACTGCTAGGGCTTTTTGTATGTTTTCAAGTCTTTTTCCTGAAGACAGAATACATAAAACGGTTCAAAATCTCTTTCAGTGCTGGGAAAGTTCTAGGTTGCCCTTTTGAAAGCACCAAACTCATACTAATTTAATTATGAAAACTTGACCTATATTTTGTTAATATACCAATGACAAAAACGTGTTAATATTAACATGGTTCAATGAATACAGTCTCAAATAACTCCATAAAATACCACATGTAATAAAACTTAAAAAAAAAGGAATATTGCTATTAATATTTCTGTATGTCATTATTTCTACCTAGTCTTACTTCATAGAGAATTACAGATGGCTTACAACAAAATGTCAAAATGAGAACAGGATATGGGAAAACATAAAAGAGAGTGAGGGGTCAAGAGTTAAGTAAAATTGAGCACAAATGTAGCTGCCTAGAGTTCCTAGAGTTGCTTTATTTGAATTGCATATTAGGATTAAAACTTCTTGATGAGTCACACAGTTCAAGTTTTCAAAGAACAGAAGACATACAAGTACATAAGCCTGTATAAAGACTTTGCTACTTAGCTCTAAATTAGAATTTTCTCACAAGGACCCTGGGAGATAGACAGTGTCTCAAAAGCTACCTTTATAGCAAATGAAGTAATGGGTTTCAAAGGCTATTTTAGCCCCTTATCATATAGCAGGTAAAAGACTGAGTGTATAATGACTATTGGACTCTGGTAGTGGTAGCTGAGCGGGAAAAATTAACTGTTTAGAGTAAAATCTTCCCAATCTTGTCTTTTAACTGAATAGACAATAATGTTAACATTAAGGACTTGAAAGTAACAGGTGTAACATGGTAACCGTAGTTCTCATTGCTGTCCACAGTCACCTACTTTCCCCTCCTCTGAGGATACCAGTCTCCCAGTTCCCCACAGCAAATCAGATCATTTTTACCCATTACAGTACATTCTAAATACTTTCTCAGAGTGGTGTGAGCAGCATTTACAGGAATATAGCTTACAAAGAGTTCTGGCTAGAAAAGAAAATAGACCTCCATGAAGTTTTATAAATGTTATCAAAAATATAAGAACATCAAAGACTTAAAAGTTCTCAGAAATTGGCCAGGCACAGTGGCTCACCCCTGTAACCCTGGCACTTTGGGAGGTCAAGGCAGGAGGATTGCTTGAGGCCAGCAGTCTGAGACCTGTGCAGGTGACATAGCAAGATGCCATCTCTACAAAAAATTTAAAAATGAGCCAGGTGTGGTGGCTCATGCCTGCAATCCCAGTTACCTGGGAGGTTAAGGCAGGAGGATTCTGAGGCAGCAGTGAGTTATTATTGTGCCACTGCACTCCAGATTGGGCTGCAGAGCCAGGCTCTACCTCTTAAAAAAAAAAGTTCTTAGAAATTTCAATGGCTAAATGATAAACAGAAAAGCTAAATAAAGATTATGATGTTTGTATTTTTTTGATTAATAGCATTAAAAATAATACTCCTGTCTTTCTACCAAAAGGGGATTTAGGTAGTGTTACCACAGCCATACCTCGCAAAGCTTTACAGTCGACCATCTCTACATGGGCATCCAGTGCGTCAGAGGCTTCCTTACAAATGGCTTTGGCCAAAGTTGATTTTCCACTTCCCTAGAAAATAATTGCTTCATAAGAACTCCCAAAGAACTCTCATCACAGAAGTAGCTTCTGTCATTGTGGCAACCACCAAGATCCAGCCACATCAGTCAAGAAGTGTGAGCAGTTTAGCTGCTGTGTAGGATAAGCAGGTGTTACTGAAACATAGCTCTTCCTTTAAGCTAGGAGCTATGTGCTAGGAGCTATGTGAAATATGGATTACATAGGATGATGTTCATTATAGTGTGTAAGTGGAAAATAGGCACAATGTTCATTTTTTACCATTTTTTAGTTAAAACAATCACAAATATTAAAATATTCTACCTTTAAAAATAGGTAATACTTCATTATCACCAGGAGGTAATAATATGAACATTAAATAATTTTTCTAGGTAAATGAAACTTTCCTCTAATTTTTAATAGGAAAAATTTATAATCCATGTTCCTATTATCTTAAATTAACTAATTTTAATTAACAGTTTCTTAGTGATTCATGGCCATTACTGTGACCATCAATTTGCGTATGGTGCAATCTTCACCATACACAAATTCACCATATACTTACTTTTATACTTAATAGCTCTAGACTGGTTTTAATCCAATGTGTACTTTTTTTAAACAAGTAAAAGCGTTACTTTTTTCCTCATTACAAAATAATATGTAAAATGCAAAATAATTATAAATACTTAGTAAATAAAGGTAAAAATCCTCTGCAATCACCTCACCTCACAGAAAAAAACATTATCAATTGTCTCAGCCTCCCAGGTAGTTGTGACTACAGGCAGGCATCACCATGCCTGCTTAATTTTCTTATTTTTGTTTTAAGAGACAATGTTTCACTATGTTGTCCAGGCTGGTCTTGAACTCCTGGACTCAAGCAATCTTCCCATCTCAGCCTCCTAAAGTGCTGGGATTACAGGGGTGAGCCACCATGCCTAGCCCACTGCCATGTTTCACTAAGAATTAGAAGAAAGCAACTGGGCTAGTAACAGGAAAAAATTATATTGGAGTTAAGAGTAAATGGAAATGAAAGTCTTAAATTTTTGAATTAAAAAAGCACAAAGACCACAGTGCACCCTTAGAAACAATACAGCACTAGTACAGTAAAACTGCAAACACCTTTAAAAGGACAAGGAACCTCTAGTAAGACTGACAAAGATTAAAAAGAGAAGACACAAATCACCAAAATCAGGAAATGGAATAACACAACAGATCCTGCAGGCACTACATAGGATAATAAAAGAATACTCACAGAAAACCATATACTCAGCAATTAACAGTTTAGAGGAAATGGACCAGTTCCTTCAAAACCACCAGCTACATGTCAGCCAAGGTGAAACAGGTTGCCTGTGTAAGCATTATCACCATTAAGGAAACTGAATTTGTAACTGAAAAGCTAATAAAGATATCTCCAGGCCCAGATGGTTTCACTGGAGGTTTTACCAAACATTTAAAGAGGAATGAACACTAATTGCATACTCTTCAAAAAAATTTTTTTCAAAAAGAAGAGGGAACACTTCTCAACTTATTTTCTGAGGCCAGTATTATATTGATAGCAAAACCATATAAAGACAGTACAAAAATAGGAATCTATAGATTAATATCGCTCATAAACTCAGATACAGAAAACCTCAACAGAACATTAGCAAACAGAATTCAGCAATGTATAAAGAAAGATACATCATGACAAACAGTATTTATTATAGGTATGCAAGGCTGGTTCAATAACTGAAAGTTAACCAACTAGGTTGGGTGTGGTGGCTCACGCCTATAATCCCAGCATTCTGGGAGGCTAAGGCTGGAGGATTACATGAGGCCAGGAGTTCAAGACTAGCTTAGGCCACACAGCAAGACCTCGTTTCTACAAAAATTAAAAAATTAGTTGGAAGTAGTGGCATGTTCCTATAGTCTCAGCTACTCAGGAGGCTAAGGTAGAAGGACTGCCTGGGCCCAGAAGGTCGAGGCTACAATGTGCCAGGATCATGCTATGCACTTCAACCTGGATGACAAAGACCTGTCTCAAAAAAAAAAAAAAGAAAAAAGGAAAGACAGAAAGTTAATCAATTCTATCAGCACCCTATCATTTGCCTACAAAAGAAAGATCACATAATCCTAACCATGGAACAGCAAAGGGGCAGGGAGAACAGTCTCATTCATCACCGCTCCCAGATACCCAGCAGAAGGCATACAAAAACATTAGTGGATAAATGAATGCTTTTCCTAGCTCATACAAATAGCCCTCTGTAATGAATGAACAAAACCCAAAGAAAGAGAAACCAGATGTTACCAGTCAGTGATAGCGGGTGTGTTCCCACCACTCACCTTTCCTCCTGTGAGTAGAAGGGCTCCATTCCGGAGTCCCGCCACAAGGGCTGTCAGCTGCCGAGACAGAGGGCGCCCCAGCAGGCTGTGAGTGATGTGCTCTAGGGAGGAGACGCCCAGGGAATTTATGCCTCTGCAAAATACACACATTGACGCATGATGAAAGACCAAAGTGGCAGAGAAACTAGTTAAGTAATAAACTGTAAAGGAGTTAAAACTTAGAAATTCTCCCTTACTTGAGAGAAAGTACATTGATTAATGCCAAATCTGACTCACTGTTTTTAAAATTAGCTTTATTACTTTCAAACGTGCAATAACTAAATTTTCCTAAATGAGTTCCTTAAGGAATCTGTCTTAAGACACACAAACACTCCTCCACCCCTAAATGACTTTTAGTTTGGTAATCGCATAATAATAAATGGGTGCTTGTGAAACGCTTAGGATAGCTGAAGACTTAATTCTTCTTAAATAGCACTTTTGAAATCCACTTTCAACCAGTAGATTATACAAACATAAACTTTAATCTACTTCTTGACTTTGTCACTTTATGATAACTGAAATAATAAAATCTTAAAATTAGAGTTTGAACTGGAGATTTTACTTTATATAACGAATATGGTGCTATAAAAAGTAAACATTTATACCTGATGGTTTAATCCTCTTACTAAAACTTTTAGCAGGAAAACAAAGCACCACTATTACTACATCTACCAAAAGCCTCCGTGAAAATATCTAAGAGGTAATATTTATATGAGATTCTCATATAGTACAAGAAATAAAGAAATTAAGAGGCTCTTTTTAGATTTGTTTTAAATTAAGAAAAACACACTAATCCTGATTACAGTAATATAAGATAGTGAAGGAATAACTTAATTTGAAATATTTTTAAATATTCAACTAATGCTTTTGGATTTAATTTTTAAAATATATTTATTTGCTCTAAAATTTATTTTTTAGTCAAGCACGTATGATCAGGTGATAATCTAGTTGCTTTCTTCTCACAAATCAATTCTCAAAGTAAAATTTTTAATAAGTTTCAGACTTCTAGTTGTCTAAGACAAGGAAACTACTAAATGAGGTGTAAAGATAGAGACAATCTTTGAAGAATTATCTACTAATGCACTGGTTAGATCATTCATTGACATTAACATCTACTTTAATATTTACACACAAAAACCCTGCTGAAAGAATGTCAAAACATGTCTCTAAACATGCTAGTTTGGCCATAACTTCTTACCCCAAAGAGTTCAGCTTTAAAAAAGGAAGAATAAAGTCAGTTTCCTCACTGTATTCTTCTTTTACCATAGGGTCTAGAAGGACCTACAGTAGCAAGGAGAAGTTAGTTCACATTTCAGAATCCACCTCTTGCCTGTTTCTCTTGGGTCCCAGAAAACTGAATGGCTGATTCTGTTACACCAGAGAGAATAGATGAATCATGCATGCAAGATCACTACGTAAAACACCCTTGACAATAACAACTCAGTCATCCAAAGAATATAAATATGTATGGTCAACAAGCAAAAAGAATGTCATCTGTTTAATATATTTTATATATATTTTTTTATTTTCAGATTTATGCCACAATTATTCTTTTTACATTTCTTACATGTTTATCTTCTATGAATGGCATTCCTTCAATTATATTTCAAAAATAAAGAAACAGTGTCTAGTTCCAAACCACTCAAATTCAACTAGGCATCCTCAATTCTATAATCACAAGAATGAATATCCTAACTAAAAAATAATATTCTAAAAAGACCACTCTTATCTTCTGGAAGAAAAGTGATCTAATAATATTTGTGAAGAATTGGGAACTTAAGAATTGTCAAAATAATATTGGGTTTTGCACTAAAATTGAATCTAAAAAGAATTTAAAAAATTCAAACCTCAAAGTTTTCATTTGTTTCAATACTAAAGAATTTCAAATCATGATCCATTTGCAGTTAACACAATCAACTCTATTCTTGAAACTTAGTTGTGCTAACACATTCATTTTAAAATTTAGAATAAAGCAATAATTTGTATAGATAATTTAAAGAGATATAGAGTAAAATAGTTTAAATCAAGTTATTCCTTACTACTATCATTCAGGTTTCCAATACACTTCAGGATGCAAGGTATTACAAGGAAATCCACACTTTATTATCAATCACACTTATCAAACATTACTTGATTAAATATTCAACAGTATGCCATTACTTGTATTGTGGTCTTGTGCAGCAGATTGGAACTCAACAGAAAAATATTTTTTTCTTTTTCTTTTTCCCAAGAATGACCTATACTCAGAGAAAATTCCTTCAACACTATTAAAAAAAAAAGAATAAATGGAGAGTCAGTACTGAAACAACTTAAGATTTTAACTGTCAAATATACTTAAAGGCATTCTTCAATATGAAAAATCTGCTATTTAATTATTATTATTATTTTTCACTGTTCACATGTGTCACAGGTTGGAAAAGCAATTTAAAATGTACAAATATTTAAACAGAAAAGAATGTCAAAACAACAAATTTACCCACCATCTTTAATCCCCAGCTTAATAAATTCTTCCTCTGATATTACCAAAGGAAGCGTGGAGGTAGCAGACTGCTGTAGCCATGAACAGAACACAGTTTTTATGTCTTCTTCATTTATGTCTTTAGGCTACCAGAGAAAAGAAAAGAATAGTGATGAATTATCCTGGTATCTGAACTTAATCTTAACACCCTGATTTTAACATCTTATCTTCCTAGTAAAATATAAACCCTGGCCGGGCTCAGTGGCTCAGCCTGAAATCCCAGCACTTTGGGAGGCCGAGGCAAGTGAATTGCCTGAGCCCATGGGTTCGAGACCAGCCTGGGCAACTTGGTGAGAATTTGTCTCTACAACAAATAAATAATTAGCCGGGTGTGGGAGCATGCACCTATAGTTCTGGCTACTTGGAAGGCTAAGGAGGAAGGATTGCCAGAGTTCAGCAGGTCAACACTGGGGTGCTGGAGTAGCTATGAGCATGTCATGGCACTCTAGCCTGGGTGACAGAATGAGACTCCAACTCAAAACACACACACACACACACACACACACACACACACAAACAAATATATACATGTACATATAAACCCTTATAAAACAAAACCAGTGAAGGATGCTCCTATTCTATAGGCACAGACTTGGGATTTGACATTACAGTTAGTACAATGAGTACAGTGTAGTCTAAAGAAACATTTTGGTAAATGGCAAAGTTTTGCTTTGTTCTGTTTGAGTTGGAGGTCTCATTCTGTGGCTCAGGCTGGAATGCAGTGGTGCAATACTGGCTCACTGCAGCCTCAGCCTCCTGGGGTCAAGAAATCCTCCCAGCTCAGTCTCCCAAGACTCCACCACACCCAGCTAATTTTTGTATTTTTTTGTAGAGATGAGGTCTCCCTATGTTGCCCAGATTGGTCTCAAACTCCTGGGCTCAAGCGATCCTTCTGCCTTGGCCTCCTAAAGAGCTGGAATTACAGGTGTGAGCCACTTCACCTGACCAACAAAGCTTTATTCTTTTTCTCTATGCCTAGGGATCCACATACCATAATTAGGCTCCCTCAATAACCATTCCAACTCCATTCTTCCTTGTCTCCCTCTGCTATGAAGACAGGAAAGTAAAATGTTTGACTCCCAGCTTAGAGGTGTGTGTGTGACATTACTCCTGGTCAATGGTGCGTAGTCAGCAATTCGAGAAGGGCAGCTTTTCCTAATTAAAAGTAGAAAACCTTGCAAGGAGAAGGCTTTGGCTTTGTGCCTTTCCTGTTTCCTGAAATGCCTACTAGTACAGCAAACACCTTGCATCTCAGAAGAGGGAAGTCAAAGGCTGAGCATGATAGAAGACAAGACTGAGGCAGACTAGATCTTGATAACATGGTCTAACCACCTAGGTTCCTCTACATTTCCTTGTACATGAGAAAAATGAATTCTTTACATGTTTATACTGCTGTTTCCTCTCTTTTTTTCTGTTATACTGACCACAGTAGTGATATACTTAGTTAAGTAGAGTGTTAATAAATCATTCAAAAGCATGAAAAAATTATAAGAAAAACATTACTAATTTTTAAAGATTTTACATTGCAATTAAAATTAACCCCTTTGAAATTAAAAAAAAAAAAACATATAGAAAAGATCATTAATATCTTTCTAGAAAAATAAACCTCTACTTCATTATTTCTCAAATTGGTCCATTTCTGTTCTCTCGTCATCCAAAGTCAAACTTAGAATCTGCTGATGAAATTCAATTCAATTTGATGACTAGGGCTGGGCATGATGGCTCATGTCTGTAATCCCAGTATTTTGGGAGGCTGAGGTGGGGAGACTGCTTGAGCGCAGGAATTCAAGACTAGCCTAGGCAACAAAGCAAGACCTCGTTTTTATAAAAACAAAAAATAAAATTATCCAGTATGGTGGCACAGTAGTCCCAGTTTCTAGTGAGGCTGAGGCGGAGGATTGCCTGAGCCCAGGAGGCCAAGACTGCGGTGAACAGTGGGTATGCCACTGCACTCCAGCCTAGGGAAACAGAGAGATGCTGACTCAAAAAAAAAAAAAAAAAAAAAAAAAAACCCCAAATAACTAACAAAATAAAACTAACTCACAAAATAAAAACAAAACCAGCAAACAAAACCCCAAAACTTGGTAACTATCAAAAGTAGGCCAAACTAAGAAAAGGCATCATTTTCCCATTCTCAAAAATCATAAAATCACACAAATAGTCAGTGACTCCATTTGATATCACTGGTATTAAAAACCTAGACAAAGTTGGCCGGGCATGGTGGCTCAAGCCTGTAATCCCAGCACTTTGGGAGGCCAAGGTGAAAGGATTGCCTGAGCTCAGGGGTTCGAGACCAGCCTGGGCAACTTGGTGAGACCTCATCTCTACAATAAATAAAAAAAAAATAAACTGGGTGTGGTAGCACGTGCCTGTAGTTCCAGCTACTTGGAAGGCTGAGGAGGAAGGATTGCCTGAGCTCAGCAGGTTGAGGTTGTGCTGGCTGTGAGCATGCCACTGTATTCCTGCCTGGGCGATAGAGTGAGGCTCCGACTCAAAAAATAAATAAATAAAAATTAAAAGAATAAAATAAAAACCTAGACAAAGTCATAAAGTAGAAATAAGAATTATTTAAGTTAAAAAGTTTTGGAATCAGAAAGCAACTCACAGTTCCACCTATGAAATTAGACATCTTGGCTGGGCTCGGTGACTCAGCCTGTAATCCCAGCAATTTGGGAGGCTGAGGTGAGTGGGTTGCCTGAGCCTGCGGGTTAAAGATGAGCCCAGGCAACTTGGCAAGACCTCATCTCCACAATAAATAAATTTTCAAAAATTAGCTGGGCGTGGTAGCGCGTGCCTGTAGTTCAGGCTACTTGGAAGGCTAAGGCGAAGGATCGCCAGAACCCAGCTGATTGACACTGGGATGGCTGTGAGTGTGCCACGGCACTCCAGCCTGGGTGACAGAGTGAGACTCCAACTCAAAAAAAAAAAAAAAGAAAAGAAAAGAAATTAAATATCTTCATATTGCAAGATATAATCATAGCCTACAGAGACCTATCAAATGTCGTAGGACTTCCACTAAAATATTCAACTCCGGATTTAAAAAAAGATTCTATAGCAATATTCCATCACTGATACCAAAACAAAACAAAACAAAATCTAATGATCAGGGAGTGACTAATTATCTGCTCATATAAGGGAGCTAACATTTGAAAGACACCAAGATCAATAACCAAAAAATTAAAATAAAATTATAAATCACTGTGCCCAGTATAGCCAATGTGTCAAACGCTCAGTTACATACTGTTGTGGAAATGGCACTTATTGTATGTATTTTCCTTTTCTTCAGTCAGGTGATATAAGCTATCTTATCTGGTGTTTCATCAACTAGAAAGTGAAGTTGGTTCTTCCATGACATGACAACCACCACAATCCAAAGGATCAAAAGTATCATGTGAATTATCAGAGAAAGATTAAATCATGTTTGTGATTTCTCAAACACATCATATGATAATAATGTTCCTGTACTTAAGGATTCGAGAACTAGTAACCTAAATTGGTACATATGATAATACTCTACATTTTTTTTTTTTTAGTTGAAGTCTCACTCTGTCACCCAGGCTGGAGTGCAGTGACACACTCAGGGCTACCCCAGCATCGATCTGCTGGGCTCCAGCAATCCGTCCATATCAGCCTTCCAAGTAGCCAGGACTACAGGCATGCACTATCACGCCCAGTTAATTTTTTGATTTATTGTAGAGATGCGGTCTTGCCAAGTTGCCCAGGCTGGTCTCGAACCCATAGGCTCAGGCAATCCACTCGCCTCAGCCTTCCAAAGCGCAGGATTATAGGTTGAGCCACCGAGCCCGGCTAAGGCTGCAATATTAATTCTGAAACAGTATGGCAATTGTTTTAAAAAGTACACAGACATGGCAAAATAGCAATCTCTTTAAAAGCCAAAAATATTCATATTTGCACTGGCACAATATACGTTATATATATATATATATATATATATTACTTATTAAAGACTTCTCAACTTCTCAAAAAGTTAAACATAGAAGTACCATATGACCCAGCAATTCCACTCCTAGATATATACCCAAAAGAATTGAGAAACAGACCTCAAACATAAATTTGTGTACCAATGTTCACTGCAGCATTATTCACAATAGCCAAAGAGGTGGAAACAACCCAAGTGTCCATCAACAGATGAATGGATAAACAAATGCAGCATACATATACAATAGAATGTCATTCAGTCATAAGTAGGGATGAAGCTCTCAGATGTGCTATAGCATAGATGACCCTGAAAATGCCGCCAAGTGAAGTGAGTCAGATACACAGGACAAGTATTGTATGCGTCTACTTATGTGAAATATTTAGAATAAGCAACACAACAGAGATTAGAGGTTCCCAGGGACTGGGGAGAGGAGAGGACGGGGAGTTACTGTTTAACAGGTACAGTTTCTGTTTGGGGTTCAGGAAAAGTTTTACAGATATATAGTGGTGATGGTTGTACAACATTAGGAATGTAATAAGTGCCACTGAATTGTACATTTAAAAATGGCTAGCTGAGCACAGTGGCTCACGCCTGTAGTCTCAGCATTTTGGGAGGTGGAGGCAAGAGGACTACTTGAGCCCATGGGTTCAAGACCAACCTGGGCAACTTGGCAAGATCTAGTCTCTATAGTAAAAAAGAATATCTAACCAGCCATAGAGGCACATGCCTATAGTTCCAGCTACTTGGAAGGCTGAGGTGGAATGACTGCCTGTGCCCAGCAGGTCAAGGCTGCAGTGGGCGTGAGCATTCCATTGCACTCCCAGGAGGTCGAGGCTGCAGTGGCCATGAGCATGCCACTGCACTCTAGCCTGGGCAACAGAATGAGACTCCAACTCAAAAAAAGCAAGCAAATAAACAAACAAACAAACAAAAAACCACATTCTTATTACTTAGCTAAAGCAACTAGAAATTTCACCATACATGTACAAGAATTTTGATATAACATAGATTTGAACTCACTAAACTATCTCTAGGTTGTAACTTCAGAGATCTTGGAATTTTAGGGGTAACTTCCACTGGTGTTATTCTGACTACTGCATGCATTTCTATATTTAGTCTCTTCCTCAGGTCATCAGGAATCTGAAATTTAAAATAAATAAACAAAATATAAACATGTGAATATATAAACATGTGAAAAGTTGATTTAAAAAATGTTTCATAGCATAAATATTAATATTAGCTTCCATGAATTCAGGTGAAATTACAGAAATTATCATAGTTCATAGTTGTCTTAGTCTGTTCAGTTGTTTTAGTCTGCTATATCAAAATGCCATAAACTGGGTGGCTTATAAGCAACAGAATTTTATTTCTCACAGTTCTGGAGGCTGTCCCCTCATATTGCAGATGGAGTAAACTGCCCCCTTGGGTCTGTTATCAGGATACGAATCCCACTCATGGCAGATTACGGCATTCATGACTTTGCCCTTATGACCCCATCACTGCCCAAAGGCCTTACTTCCTTAAGCCATCACCTTGGGGGTTAAAATTTTGACATATTAATTTGGGGGGGGCATAAACACTCAGCCATAGCAAAAGTATAACCAGACAGATGTTCAGGTATTGAACCATAAACATTTCAATTTTCCCCTTTTCCTTCCCTTTACATATTTTTCAGAATTAGAGCTTAAAACACAAGTATTTGACTCTACCCACAAAAAAAATCTTTTAAACTATGGTATAATTATATTTAGTTATATTATTCAGTTCAATTGCATTACATTTTGCAATCTTTGAGAAGTCTTCATTTGTGAAAGTTGAGAATCAGTGAAAAAGCTGGAATGGCCAGGGCTAGTCACAGACAATCTGCCACAAGACAATTAAAACCAGGCAGAAACTCAGTCCAAAAAGCAAAGGTAAAATTTCTCACCCCCCTGACAAAAATGTTCTCAACTTAGATTGTGGTAATGGCTGTCCAACTATTACAAATATACTAAAAATGACTAAATCGTGCACTTTAGATTTTACCTGAAAAGCATGTTGAAAAATTTTCTCATCTTCCCAAATGTAAGCAAGCAATGGAAAACATAAAGATGACTCCACCAACCCTGCTAATTTCTAAAGGGTAGGTACAGACATGTGACTTGTAGACAGAAGCAAAGCATAAGACACTCTGAGGTGTACATCCTGACTTAAAGACTCATAAATTTAACAATCAAGTTTCCTGCCTTAAAAAAATCATACTTCTTCACAGGGTAGTAAAGGATCAAGTTATCACTACTTTGTTAGTTGCAGCCCCAAGTGATCAACCTTGGTCTCTCAAGTCAAGCCTGTTGGAGCAACCAATTTCAGCTACTGCCACTTCTCACTGCCTACAGCTCTCCAGCCTTTGAAATGGAGTGAGCAGTGCAGACTCCTATGTAATTTATTTTTTTTAAGAGGACAGGATCATGCAGTGGTATAATCATAGCTCACTTGGGCTCAAGCAATCCTCCCACCTCAGCCTCCAAAGGAGCTAGGACTACCATGTCCAGCTATTTTTTAAAAACATTTTTGTAGAGATGGGATCTTGCTATGTTGGCCAAGCTGATCTCAAACTCCTGGCCACAAGCGATCCTCCTGCCTCAACCTCCCTAACGTGCTGGGATGACAGGCATGAGCCATTGTGCCCAGCCAACTTACTGCTATACTGAGATGGTTCCCAGGACGTTACCTTCAGCACTTCCTCACTCTATCCTCACCACATGATTCTCCAAGGAAATAAGATGTTCCTATCTAATGGGAGAACCAGCTAAATCATAGTAAGTTCAGTGTTAGACATTTTGAGTTTGAGGATGCAGTGCACTCTCCTAAACTAACAGTTTAAAGCTAACAGGGAATAATGGCATGGAGCTTTAAAAATGATGTAGGCCAAAGAGAGTAAAGCTCTGCTTAAGTTACCTGCATAAAGGTCACAGGTAAAACTGTGGGAGAAAAATAAATCTACAGAGTAGACAATCTTCCCTGTTACTTTTCTTCCCTTTCCTAACAGGTTCTTCCCTCTTCCTCTACTATGTCTCACCATCGCAGTGGTTCAAAGTTGGGTTCCAATAAACGTGGTTGATGACTCATGTCATACACATTTAGCATAAATATGTGAGGCCAGGATGAGGGGGTGGACTACTAGTAGTCCCTGTCTACTTCCTCTCTTGGTTATACACAAATAAAAGAGCAGACATCAGCAAGTTAAGAGCGTCTACATGTGCTCCAATCCACATGCTGTCATAGGCAGCAGGAAGGTCGTCTCATGCCAAGGGTCTCTCCCTGCACTAGGCACGTTCCCCCACACCCAGCAAGCCCTTTCTTTGATTTCAATAACTTAGGAACAAACTTGAAAGCATTAAAGATGTGAGGCTTTGTAGGGTACTCTGCTGAGCACAAATCCTAGAGTCAATCTGCCTGGGTCTGAATCTTGTTCCCATCACTTACTAGCTATGCAACTTTGACCTCTCTGGGCCTGAACCTGTTTAAGCTTACCTGGCCAGAAAATATACAATATTTAGCCAAACAAGACCTTTACAACGGTTCCCCAGTACCTTTAGACACTGAGTTTCTTTTTTATTGGTTTTCAATTTACATATAAAGCATTATTCTAGTTAATAATTTGGGAATGTTTAGGCAACATAAATGATCTCCTGAATTATAAAATTTGTACTAACCCACACTTTCCCAAGATGGAGAACTTCCATATTTTTGGTGTATTTCATAGCATTCTTCAATTCCTCAAGTCCATTCCAGATTACCTGCAGCACACAGGCCTTACCAGCTTCTTGGCTATGATCAGAGCTAATTTGTTTTTGATGGAGTGGCTCTGACATTGGCTTCTCTTTTTCAGGTGACAGAATATTTTGCTTTGTTTTACTCTGTTGTTGCTTTGGAGAAAGTAGCTTTACCAGCTTTCCATAGGTCACAGTAAAGCTGGGCTCTACATCAAAATACTCCTGGTCCCATGGAAATACGTGAATGGCACAGTGCCTGTGAAACACAGGAGGTACTGATGCCTGATATACACTAGGAGGCTGAGACTTGCACACTCTGAAAATATTGTCCAGAGGAACAGCTTTTGCCTGCATATTTTTAAAGGCATTGATTTCAGTTAAACCCCAGGATGTCTCCTGTTTCTTTTCAGATCCAAAAGAAAAAATACTTCCTATCACGTCCCATAAGCTTGGGGTCAATGAGGAGTCCACTGGAACCGCGTGCTCTTTTTTGTTAGATTCAGTGACTCCCATAGTATCTGACTGATGTTGCTTGACTGAAAGTTCCTTTGTCATTCCTTTTTGGTCTCTTCCATAACTGTAAAATTTTCCACACATGTCATCTGCTTTTGAAAATGTATTCTCTTCGGCTTGGCGTGTCTTTGGCTGAATGAGGAGTCTGGTGTCAGTTTCCAGCCTTCCATAAGCAGCAGCTGGCATTAGAGCAACTGTGTAGAAAACAAAGTTCATTAGAGCACAGTTCACCTCTGTTCTGGACTCAGTGCTATAGTGTAGAGCATGGCAGCAAATGTTACAACAGTACCTACCAATCTTGATAAATATGTAAGTTTGTTGATCAACCCAAACAGGAAAAACAGCTTTTGGAAAAACTATTCGAATTTGATCTAGAAGGTTTTGCTCTAGGGAAGCAGCATGCAGCTCCTGGAACCAACAGACAGAAGATCAGTTCATACTACATCTTGTCCGTATTGTCTGGTAAAGAAATCTCAATTCATTCTTTTTAAAAAATAAATTTTACTGTGTATATTTAATGTATACATAATGTTATGGGATACACATAGTAAAAAGTTACTACACTGAAGTCAATTAACAAATCCTCATAGTTACCCATTTTTTTATTTTTGTGGCACGATTAGCTAAAATCTACTCTAACACGAATCACATATACAAGACAACTTTATTTCCTTAGTACTATGTTGTATATCAGATCTCTATCAATTCAACCTTGTAACTCAAACCAGCTCAGAGAATATAATACAGTTCAGAGAAGCCAAATACAAAGACACAGCAGATATTTTGAAGTAGTTCTCCTTTCTTTACCAGGATCTCCCAGTCATCTGCTGAGAGGGGTTCCACCTCAACCTGCTGACAAGACACGACATGGGAACACGGCTTGAGAAATACCTGCAGAGAGTAAAGATTTAAAATTATTTAAGAAAGCTTTTCTGTATTCCTAGAAAATATAAAGTTATGTTTTTAGGTAAGAGTGTGTGTGTGTGTGTGTGTGTGTGTGTGTGTGTGTGTGTGTGTGTGTATGATGTGTATATATAGTCTTTCATGTCCCAAGCATTTTTTCAGTACTTATTCTTAACTAGGCCTTGATATACTCAGCATTTTAGGAGAAACTGTTCCACAACTAATTGTAGAACAAAAATACCTCACACATTCTAGCACAGTTCATGTTTTTAAAAAATAAAGATAATCATCAAAAAAAAAGAAATATAAATTTGAAAAGCCAAGAAGTGACAATATAATCAAGTCATGGCTTGATCTAATAAATAAATACTGTATTTCTAGTTTTGCAACTGTTAATTTTATAACTTCAAGCCATACTGCTTCCAGAAAAGTGCAAAACATTGAAACAGAGATCAGAGGCAATTATTTATAAGTATAAGCCTTCACAGTTAAAAGTAAAGTAAAATAAACAGCCTCTCATCTAGTCTACATATATGGAAATGCTAGCGTGTCTCAATAAGCAGGAGTCCACCATCATAGGCCCTTTGATAGGTATTTCCAGGCTTTACGGGAATAAAGCCCAAAGTGTGTTAAGTACTCTAGGTAACCAGCCCTTCCTCTCTGCTTTTATGGATTGCAGCAGAATCTCCCTGAGTGCCTCGCTCCAGACTCAGTGAATTTCCCTCCAGGACCTCCCTTACCGAATAGGATGATTTGGAGAAAGCTGTTCCTGCCCACCAAGAAGCTAAGGACTCCTGGGCTAGCCAGTTCACTTTCTGCTCCTATCAATGATTCTTGGGAGACAGTATCCTGGTGCCATTGCTACAATAGAGGACTATATATACATAGAGAGAGAGTGTTCAAAGCATATTTTGTGGAATGTGCATTTGGAAAGGTATCTGATATATTCTGTGGGGTAAAAATTGCAGGAAAAAAATATGTATGATTTCATTTTTGATTCCTAAAGGTCTAATGAGATCTCTAGAAAAAGTCAGCAAGCCGGGCTCAGTGGCTCAGCCTGTAATCCCAGCACTTTGGGAGGCCAAGGCAAATGGATTGCCTGAGCCAGCGAGTTCGAGACCTGCCCGGCCAACATGATGAGACCTCATCTCTACAATAAATCAAAAATTAGCTGGGTGTGGTAGTGCACGCCTGCAGTACCAGCTACTTGGAAGGCTGAGGTGGAAGGATCGCCGGAGGCCAGCAGGTCAAGGCTGCGGTGGCCGGGAGCGTGCCACTGCACTCCAGTCTGGGTGACGGAGTGAGACTCCAACTCAAAAAAAAAAACCAATCCCCCCAAAACAGTCAACATTCCTTCTGAAGATGGGGTTGGGGAAAAGGAAAAACTCACTTTTTGCTTTCAATTGTAAAATATTTAAATTGAATATGTGTTACTTCCATGGTTTAAAAAAAATTTTTTAAGGGGGCCAGGCTCATGCCTATAATCCCAGCACTTTGGGAGGCCAAGGTGAGAGGACTGCCTGAGCCCATGGGTTCGAGATCAGTCTGGACAACTTGGGGGAACCTTATCTCTACAATAAATCAAGAAAAATTAGCCAGGCGTGATGGCACATGCCTGTAGTTCTAGTTACTTGGGAGGCTGAGGCAGAAAGATCACCTGAACCCAGCAGGTCGAGGCTGCGGTGGCCGTGAGCGTGCCATTGCACTCCAGCCTGGGCAACAGAGTGAGACTCCAACTCAAAAACATTTTTTTTAAAGGATTAAACTGATGAAAATAAAACAGGTTAAGCACCATAGCTCAAGCCTATTATCCCAGCACTTTGGGAGGATGAGGTATGAGGACTGCTTGAGTCCAGTCTGAGACAAGCTTGGGCAAAATAGTTACCTTGTCACTATAGAAAAATTTAAAAATTAGCTAGGCACAGGAGGCTGAGGTGGTAGGATTGCTTGAGCCCAGGAATTTGAGGCTGCAATGAACCATGATCATGTCACTGCACTCTAGCCTGGGCAAAAGAATAAGACCACAACTCAAAAAAAAGAAAGGTCCAGGTGCGGTGGCTCAGCCTGTAAACCCAGCACTTTGGGAGGCTGAGGCAAGGGGAATGCCTGAGCCAGGGGTTCAAGACAAACCTGGCAACTTGGAGAGACCTCATCTCTACAATAAATCACACACACAAAAACTAACCAGGAGTGGTGGCGTGCGTCTGTAGTTTCAGATACTTGGAAGGCTGAGGTGGAAGGATCACCTAAGCCCAGCAGGTCGAGGCTGCAGTGGTTGTGAGCATGCCACTGCACTCCAGCCTGGGCGACGGAGTGAAACTCCAACTCAAAAAAAAAAAAGAAAGAAAGAAAAGAAAAAATAGACCTGAGTCTTTAAGCTTTAGAGCTTATAACCTAAGCACATTAAATTCATAAAGGAAGACAAAAATAATAACCATGTGTTGTACAATTTATTTTTCTTGAGTGAGACTATATGGAAGGCTAGAAAATACTTCAAAATAAATGCAATAAAGTTCAATCATGGTAAATAAAGAAAAAAATGATTTCAAAAACAACATTAAGGAATGTGGAAAATGAGTAAAATAGATAATAGAAATAAAAAATCAAGTAGGGAGAATTGCAAGCTACAAGACAATGACTTAGTAATGTAGCCTACAGTCAGTTTAAAAAGTCTAGCCTAGTTATAATGGCATACACAGTAGGTGTCATCTTATCTCCTTTTAAAAAAAATCTGAACTTTCAATTTAATTTTTATTTTTTTCTTGAGTTGGAGTCTCACTCCTTCACCCAGGCTGGAGTACAGTGGCATGCATGCTCACAGCCACCCCAGCATCAATCTTCTGGGCTCCAGCGATCCTTCCACCTCAGCCTTCTGAGTAGCCTGGAACTACAGATGCACGTTACCACGCCCAGCTATTTTTTTTTTTAATTATAGAGATGAGGTCTCACCAAGTTGACCAGGCTGGTCTTGAACTGGTGGGCTCAGGCAATCCACTCGCCTCAGCCTCCCAAAGTGCAGGGATTACAGGCTGAGCCACTGAGCCTCGCCTTAATTTAATTTTCATTGATAAATGGATGGAATTGGATACCATCATCCTAAGTAAAGTAATGCAGGAGTAGAAAACCAAACACCACGTTTACACTTTTAAGAGGGAGTTAATCTAAGGGTCTGCGAAGGCACAGAAGTGGTATGAATGGACACTGAAGACTTAAAAGGGGGAGGGTAGGAAGGGGGAAGGATGAAAAAGCACTTACCGGGGATAATGTGCACTAATGGGGGTGACGAATACACTTAAAGCCCAGACTTCACCACTATACGATGCATCCATGTAACCCAAAACCATTTGTACCTCTAAAGCTATTGACATTTTAAATTATTAATAAAGACAAATTGTTCATTGCTACATTATGTGACAATAGAAGAGGGTTACTTTTATCAAGGTATGTGCTTACCTGTCCTCCATTTGAGAGTCCAAGTTTCTGACCAACTTGTCGGTTAATTTCAGCTACATTTTCTCCTTGATCATGAAAATGCCTGCCTTCTACCCAGCTTAAGAATGCAGGCTGGTGACCCCAGGCTAGTTCTATAGCTTGATTCTATTCATATAAGAAACAGGAGGGAAAACGGTTTTAAAAGTTTTTACATGTTTTTCTGGATTCACATAAAAAAACTATTATTGCAATCCACACATACGAGTTCTATAGATGATTGATAACGCTGTTATTCACATATGTCACAGCATTTACAAAGCTATAATCATTTCCAATGCCCAATGCCAGTGATACTAACGAATGAAATCAATACCCTCATGTTTTTATGACAGCATTATAAATTTATCCAATCATTTCAGTTCAAAATGATAACAGGTAGTTGATGAACTTACACAGCTGCTGAACATAACTATTTGAGCATTTATTCTCAATGATTCAAAGGAGAAAAATCACACCAAGGTAGCTCTACATATTTTCTATAATAATAAAAACCTGGAACTATCTTAAATGTCTATCAATAGAGAAATTATTAAATAAGCTATAAATGTACTATTTTAACATATATTATCTTTAAAAAGTATTAATAGTTTTTAGAATTTTAAAAAAGCAGAATATGGAATTCCATATTTATTAGACTAATACTTATTACTTATAAATTATAATACTTATTACTTACAAACTATAATATTTATTACTTATAAAATATTTATTAGAAGAATAAATGCATGTGGTAAAGCACACAAAGTGCCAAAGGGTGAATGTGTCCTTGTTCCCAGGGGCAAATCACTATGAATAGTTTTATGTACCCTCCAGAAATGGTATCTTAGGTAGTTTCTTAAATAATAATTGTAAAGGTTCATAGAACTATGAAAATATATTTGTAAGTAAAAAAGCAAAATACAGAATTTATTCTCATTAAAAAGCAATTACAGGTCCAACACAGTGGCTCACGCCTGTCATTCCAGCACTGTGGGAGGTGGAGGCAAGAGGACTGCCTGAGCCCAGGGGTTTGAGACTAGCCTGGGCAACTTGGTGATACCTTTTCTCTGCAATAAATAAAAAATTAGCTGGGCATGGGGGCATGTGCCTGTAGGTCCAGCTACTTGGAAGGCTGAGGCAGAAGGATCCCCTGAGCCCAGCAGGTCAAGGCTATGGTGGCCATGAGCGTGCCACTGCATTCCAGCCTGGGCGACAGAGGGAGACTCTGACTCAAAAATAAAATAAAATCATAAAAAAAAAAAACCAATTAGCCTGTAATCCTGCACCTTTGGGAGGCTGAGGAGAGTGAATTGTCTGAGCCTGTGGGTTTGAGACCCACCTGGGCAACTTGGTGAGACCTCATCTCTATAATAAAACAAAAATTTAGCTGGGCATGGTAGCGTGCCTGTAGTTCCAGCTACTTGGAAGGCTGAGGTGGAAGGATCGCTGGAGCCCAGCAGGTCGAGGCTGTGGTGGCCGGGAGCAGCCAATGTACTCCAGTCTGGGTGACAGAGTGAGACTCCAACTCAAAAAAAAACCAAAATTATACAAAACGTGTAAGTTATGGTCAAGAATTTTAAAAAGGGTATTCTATGATTAGGCAATTGCAAACTCATTATAAACATTTTTAAAAATATATAAACTTTGAAGAAAAAAAGGAATTACTGATATCCCCCCACAAAAAGACAACCATATGAACAATTCTCTTACTAACCCTTTTTTTCTATGTGCAAGTTAATTTTTACTTAGTTGTGCCTTATAGGCTCAATTTAATATCCTGTTTCCCACTTAAAATTGCATCATGAGCATTTCACATTTATACCATTTTCTGATTTAATGTAGAGACAAAGTCTCACCAAGTTGTCCAGACTGGTGTCAAACACCTGGGCTCAGGCAATCCTCTCACCTCGTGAGAGGTGCTGGGATTACCAGCATGAGTCACCGTGCCCAGCTCACACTCACATCATTCTTTTGATTAATAGCCATAAAGACTTATTCTATCATAAAACTTCAGTATTATTTACTTATTTATTTTTTTGAGTTGGAATCTCACTCTGTCACTCAGGCTGGAGTGCAGTGACAAGCTCACGGCTACCACAGCCTCAACCTGCTGGGCCTGGCGACTCTTCCACCTCAGCCTTCCAAGTGGCCAGAACTACAGGCATGTACTACCACACCTGGGCTTACTTTTTATTTATTTTAGAGACGAGGTCTTGACAAGTTGCCCGGGTTGGTCTCAAACCCACGGACTCAAACCACTTGCCTCAGCCTACCAAAGTGCTGGGATTACAGGCTGAGCCACCGAGCCCAGCCTATTTATTTATATCAAAATTAATTTATTAAATTTAAAATATTAAGTATCAAATCCATTCATTTACATGGAATCTTACTAGCTCAAAACTAGGTATAGGGTGCTTACGTTTCCAAAAATAGGACAAATTTCAAAGGATGTTGGGGTCACAAACTCTAGGGTCAGTATCACCATGAAAGAAATGTTCAGATGAAACCATAGGTTGGGATGCCTTAGGAATGCCCGTTTCCAAGAACTGGGGTATTTCTTGGCAACACAAGGGAAATGACAAACTGTGGCCATTCAAGGTGGCAATTTAGGCTCACTTGTTTGCACTCAGTGTGGATATGAATTCCCTCCCCTGGCTGCAATCACAGTAAGTCCTGAGCACAGAATATGGACAAGGTAACCGTGCTGAAGCAGTATTTTTCAATCAGGGGTGACTCTGTGCCCCAGCAGACATTTGGCAATGTCTGAAGACACTCCTGGTTGTCACAAGGGGGGAGAAGGTTACTGGCATCTAGTGAACAGAGGCCAAGGGTGCTGTGAACATCTCACAGTGCACAGGAGAGCCACAAAGCAAAAGATTATGCAGCCAAAATGCCAACAGTGCTAAGACAGAAATCCTGACTTAAAGCATCTACTGGGTACCCATTGCTGAAATAAAGACTTAGGTGAACAAAAGAAGACAATGCTTGAAGCACAGAACAGAGTACAACAAGTGAGATGTGTCATATAACAACAATCATGAAGTTCTGAAAAAAAGAGACATGAGGCATGAGGGCAATGGAGAACTGGAAAGTCATGTGAAGAAATAGGATTATGTTCTTTTTTTTTTTTTTTTGAGTTGGAGTCTCACTCTGTCACCTAGGCTGGAGTGCAGTGGCATACTCACGACCACCGTAGCCTCGATCTGCTGGGATTAGGTGATCCTTCCACCTCAGCCTTCCAAGCAGCTGGAACTATAGACGCATGCCACCACACCTGACTAGTTTTTGTGACTTATTGTAGAGACCAGGTCTCTCCAAGTTGCCCAGGCTGTTCTCGAACCCCTGGGGAATTAGGAATCCTCTCGCCTCGGCCTCCCAAAATGCTGGGATTACAGGCTGAGTCACCACGCCCAGCTAAGGTTATGCTCTTTTTAAAGGTATGGAATTTATATGAAAGGCAGAAAAATGTTTTAGGGAAGAACGGCATGAGTAAGTGAACAGAGTGGGAATAAGAGTGTAACAGAGGAAACAGCAAGAAGATTTGGCTGGATGATGCAGAGTGAACAGCAGGCAAGAGAGCATGGAGATAGTACTAGTCAGTTTTGTACACATAAAGGTACAAAAAAGGCCAAGACACTCATGGTTCCTCTCATCATTAACATTCTATGATTCTAGAGCAGTGGGTCTCAACTTTTTGTGCATCCAAGTAGCCTGAAGTTACTTTAATTTATTTTTTAGTTGGGGTCCCACTCTGTTGCCCAGGCTGGAGTACAGTGGCACATTTGGGGCCAACACAGCCTCAACCTGCTGGCCTCAGGCAATCCTTTTGCCTCAGGAACTACAGGCATGCACCATCATGCCCGGTTAATTTTTCTTGATTTATTGTAGAGTTGAGGTCTTGCCAAGTTGCCCAGGCTGGTCTCCAGCCCATTGGCTCAGGTAATCCTCTCACCTAGGCCTCCCAAAGTGCTGGAATTATAGGCAAGAGCCACTGCACCCGGCCTTTAAGCTATTTTTAAAATTACAGATGTCAGCCGGGCTCGGTGGCTCAGCCTGCAATCCTGCGCCTTTGGGAGGTTGAGGTGAGTGGATTGCCTGAGCCCGCGGGTTCGAGACCCACCTGGGCAGCAGGACCTCATCTCTACAATAAATCAAAAAAAAAATAAAAATAAAAATCAGCCGGGCATGATAGCGCAAGCCTGTAATTCCAGTTACTTGGAAGGCTGAGGTGGAAGGATCACCGGAGCCCAGCAGGTCAAAGCTGTGGTGGCCGGAAGCGGCCACTGCACTCCAGTCTGGGTGACAGAGTGAGACTCCAACTCAAAAAAAAAAAAAGAAAAAGTTACAGATGCCTGAAGCCCACTTCCCAGGATTCTAATTTAGTAGGTCTGAGGAAGAATTAGAACACCTATGTTTTTAAAAGCTTCAAGATAAATCTGACACAGACCAGAAAATCATTATCCAACCCCATTTCCCATTGCTGCATTATCTGTATTATGCACTCAATGCTTCAGCCCAAACAAAATAATTCACCCTATTAACTCCCAACTCATGAACCCTTCTGCTTTAATAATTATCAATGTCCTCTAATCCAATAATTCTTGGGCTCTATCCTAAATAACCAAAAATGAAAACAATGTTTTATAAACAAAGATGTGCTACTTTAAACATTTTAGTAAAATATAATTGTAGTTTTACATTTTTTTTCCTGTTTTCTAGAGAGGAGGTCTGACTATATTGCCCAGGCTGGGTTCCAACTCCTGGACTCAGTGATCCTCCTGCCTTGGCCTGGCAAAGTACAGGGATTATAGGCATGAGCCACTGGCCCCACCTAGTGTCACCTATTCCTATAAACTCATTAGGTGCCGATTTGAAAACACGCTGAAAATTTCCATCAGCTAGGTGCAGTGGCTCAGCACACTGGGAGGTGGAGGTGGGAGGATTGCCTGACCGCATGAGTTCGAGACCAGCCTGGGCAACATGGGGAGACCTCATCTCCACAATAAAGCAGGAAAAAAAAAAAATTAGCCGGGCGTGGTGGCACACGCCTGTGGTTCCAGCCACTTGGAAGGCCGAGGAATAAGGCCTGAACCCAGCAGGTGGAGGGTGCAGTGGCCGTAAGCATGCCACTGCACTCCAGCTCGGGCAACAGTAAGACTACGACTCAAAAAAAAAAAAAAGAAAGAAAGAAAGAAAGAAAGAAAGAAAGAAAATTTCCATCAAAGCTGACCCCGAGGGCGCTGACCCAAGTTCTACCTGGACCTTGGTGGAGCGAGGCTGGTTCACCTCCAGCCACGAAGGAAACTTGCCAAGGACCAAGATCTGTCGCCCGAGTGGTGAAAAGAAGGACGGCGACAGGAGGGCTCTGGTGAAGCCAGCGTTGGGAGACAGACACAACAAACACCCAGAGCAGTCCCGAGGGGCAGCTCGGGCGGAAAGCTGAGACGCCGAAACCGCCACGGGTTCCTGAGCTCCGGACACCGGCCGGAGGGGCAGCAAGCTCCCAGGCAGGCGGGGACTGAGCTCCGGGACAGGCTCCGCGCGCCCCACACCACCAGGCTGCTCGGGGA